CCGTGCCAGTAGGCAGCGGGGCCCACCGAATCACACATCCACCGCATCAGGTCCTGATGATGCCGGTGTGACAATGCAGCCCAGGCCACCAACCAAACAAGCCCTAGATCCCACACGAGCATACTCCAATTATTATTTTTGAAGCCCAATTTTTTAGCCACAGAAAGCAAGTGTCTAGAATGAACATGATTTTGTCTAGATTCAGACACTCTATTAACTCTCTGGGTCTTCATGACATGCCGTTGGTGGGTAGGAGGTTTACTTGGTGCAATGAACAAGAGCACACCATGATGGCTAGGTTGGATCGTCTTCTGTTCAACAATGTCTGGGAGGATATATTTCCTATCAGTGATCTGCTGCCGCTCAGTTCCAGCATCTCGGACCACTTTCCTCTTCTCCTAATGTGTTCCTCGGTCAGGCCAAAGGCTCGCCGCTTTCATTTTGAAAACTTCTAGGTTAAGCTGCCAGGGTTTATGCATACGGTGAAAGCAACTTGGGAGGAGGACGTGGATGCCACTGATCCCATGTTGATCTTCAGTGTCAAACTGCAGCGTACGGCCAAATCTCTTCGTAGCTGGGGGCAAAGGAAACAAAGTTTCATGAACCTTCAATTCCAAATTGCCAACGAGCTGATTCTACGTCTTGATGGCGCACAGGAATTTAGGTCTCTGTCACGCGAAGAACGACTCCTCAAAGCTTTTCTAAAAGGAAAATGTCTCGCTCTTGCCTCTCTGGAAAGGATCCGTCTACGCCAGCGGGCTAGGGTGAGGGATTTGAAGGAGGGGGATGCGAACTCCAAATACTTTCATAGAAAGGCCAATGCCCGGAGGCGTAAGCATCATATACCTTTTTTCAGAGATGGGCAGCGAACAGTTTCAGACATGGATGAGAAATTCAATCTGGTGCGGGACTTCTACCGTGGTCTGATGGGCACACCTACGCCCCAACGGTCCTCTTTGAAGCTGGAGCAACTCAATTTCAATTGCCTTCCCCCCGATTTGGCACGTGGTCTCGAAGTGATGTTCACGGAAATAAAGGTCAAACAAGCGATAATGGATATGCCCTCGGATCGTGCGCCCGGGCCGGATGGCTTCTCAGGCCTTTTTTACAAGGTGTGTTGGGATATTATTGCCAATGATTTCATGGTTGTCATGCTTGAGCTCTACAGGGGCAATTTTGCCTCTTTTGGTAGGCTTAATTCCTCGATAATTACTTTGTTGCTCAAGAAGGAGTGTTCGCTGCAAGTGGCTGATTTCAGGCCGATTAACTTAAATCCATGGATCTGCAAAAATCTTTGCTAAAGTTCTAGCCGTACGTCTTGCCCCTTTACTACCAGCCCTTATCTCACAAGTTTAGAGTGCTTTCATCAGCCACAGAAGTATTCATGAGAACTTCAAATTCATTCACAATGCTGCCAGAATTCTACATTGGAAGAAATCGCCTGCAGTTCTTATGAAGATTGATATTTCCAAAGCCTTTGATACCTTGTCCTGGGAGTTCATCATTCAGATATTGATAAGGAGAGCCTTTGGCTGGAGTTGGTGCTCTTGGGTCTGTGGCCTTCTGCGCACTGCGTCGTCTTCTGTGTTGGTCAACGGTGAGACTTGTGAGCCATTCTCACTTGGCCAAGGTGTGAGACAGGGGGACCCGCTGTCCCCCGCGCTCTTCATTCTTGCCATGGACACTTTGCAAGCGATGGTGCATTGGGCAGACCATAACAACCTGTTATCGGACTTAGGTCTCACCCCCAACGTTCCAAGGGCTTCCTTCTTTGCAGATGATGCGGTTCTATTTTTCAAACCTTACTCGACAGATATGGGGGTGATCTCAGCCCTCCTGAAGCTGTTTGGAGAAGCGTCTGGTCTTCACATCAATCTGCAAAAGAGCACTATCACGTGTGTCAGGGGTGATGACTCCATTTCTGCTAGTGTGGCTCGGCACTTTGCCTGTCGGTTGAGGCCGTTTCCGCTTCAGTATATTGGGCTGCCACTGTCAATATACAGATTGAGGCGTCAAGACATTTTGCCACTCGTCGACAAGTTCTCCAACAAGATGAAGGGATGGAAACCCAAGCTAATGGCCCCTGCCGATCGCTTGACACTCATCCAATCGGTACTCATGGCTCTGCCAATCCACTTCATGTCAGTTCTGCCGTTGCCGGCATGGGTGCTGAAAATTATTAACAGGTGGTGTCACGAATTTTTATGGAAAGGTGACAGTGATATCAATGGCGGCCATTGTCTCTCCTACCGTGGTCGAGGGTGTGCACGCCCAAGGAGTGTGGGGGTCTGGGCGTTTTGAACCTCAAGTGCTTTGGCTATGCCCTCCGTTGTCGTTGGCCTTGTTTAAGGTGGGAGGTTGAGGAGAGGCCATGGAATCTACTGCCAGAGGATCTGGAAAAGGAGGTCTCTTACATCTTTAAGGTGGGCACTTGTATCCGCTTGGGGGATGGCAAGAGGCTAAATTCTGGACAGACAAGTGGCTGCCAGGAGGGAACTCCATACAGGATGTGGAGTTTCTACACCCAGGAGCAAATGCTCCTGGTGTGAACAGCAAAATCAAATAAATTCAAAAATAATTCAAAAAATTCTGAATTTTTTTGTGCCATACTTTCACAAATGTTTGTTGTGCCTGCAAAATTTCATCGCAAAATCACGTTGGTGGAAGGTGTGGTAAAAAACAAAATCGATGCTCTGAAAATGTTACTTACAAAAGCATTTTAGAGCTCTGATTTTGTTTTTTGGCACGCCTTACACCAATGTGATTTCGCAATGAAATTTTGCGTGCACAACAAATATTTGTGAAAATATGTCACAAAAAAATTTCAGAATTTTTTGAACATTTTTTCTATTTTTTAATTTTACTATTCATACTAGGAGCATTTGCTCCTGGGTGTAGAAAGGTACTTCCGCTGCCTTATTCTCTTTTGTCAAGGACTTAGGAAAATCTGTCAAGGACGCTCTGTCAACAGGAATTGGATTAGGGATATCTCTGGAGGCAGGGTACAGGCTATGGCTCAATATCTTAAAATTTGGGACATTGTGCGAAGTACTTCATTGTCGGTGGAAGCTACAGATAGACTAGTTTGGAAGTGGACTGGAGACCACAAGTTCTCTGTTAGTAGTATGTATGGTCTGTTCTTTGCAGGGAATGTGCGCATGGTTTCAGGCACATATACCAATCAGTGACCTGGCGCTTAATTTTGGACGTTGTTACCCCCGCTTGTCTTGCCTCCAGCCCGTGTGCATGTGGGCGTACTTTCTGATCAGTGGAAAGCCAAACCAGTAGGCCACCACAGGACCATCACGCGCCACCGCAGGGATAGCAAACCGCGCGAGATACTACGGCGGGATCCGCGGCTGCGACTTAGCGGCGGCGGGATCCGCGGCTGCGGCGGTGACCTCGACAACCTCGCCATCTCTCCACCGGCTCGCCGTGGCCGTCATAAATCACGAAGAAGTCCTGGCGGCCGCTGCCCTTGTCCCTTCCTCCGCGCGCGACCGGAAGGACGGTGTCGACACGGTCCACACCTCGAACTCCTGCTGCTCCCCCTCCTCCTCTGCCGCCTAGGAGGTGGCCGTGGCCTCTAGATCTGGGGATAGAAGAAGGGGCCGTGGTGGCCTGCAGCGGACGGGATCGACTTGGGAGTACTAGTCCACTTGATGTGGCTGGCAGCGAGATGTTTGCCAGGGATGCGACGGACACGGGGATGCCAATAGCCGACGCAACGACGCCGGAGGCCGGCCGTGGACGCGAAGATGCCGGCAGTTGACACGGAGATGCCAGAGACGCCGGATGCGGACGCGGCGATGCCGGAGAGGCCGTCCGCCAGCAGCGGACGCGAAGATGCCAGAGCCGGCAGAGGACGCGGAGACACCGGCTTCCTGCTGCTCCCCCTCCGCGTCTGCCGCCGCGGGTCGATTCCCGCTGCCACCGGTCCAATCCGTTTGTCCTGGAGGAAGGGGATACACGCTAACGTTGCGTGTGTGCCTGTGCCGCTGCGGGGTTAGTTTCGTCCAAAAGAGCCCAAAGTAGCTAATGCGCACTACATTTCGGAATAATGCCAAAAAATTTATGCGCATTACATAGAGGAACGGAGGGAGTAATAAAAGATCAGCCTATGGTCCTTCAAGATTTTCTAGCACTGGCCTATAAGTTAGAATTATTGAGTAAAACTAGATCCCACATGTTGTTCTTTTCTTTTTGCATTTTTGAATATTTATCACCATGGTTGCTGTTCTGATGTGTTGGTCATATGGGGTCTTAGCACGACGACTTCCCGACTGTCTACTACAACAAGTTGTGCCTGGCTCCGACAAGGGACGATGACGGCGGCGCGTCTTCGGTTCGCTTCAGTGCTTGTAGTCGTCGCTAGATGGTCTATGAATCTGGATATAATTTTTATTATTTCTAGTGTTCATTGTATTGTCATGATTGAAGATGAATAGATCAACAGTTTCTCGCAAAAGGGAATATTTATCGCCACAAGGACTTTTAAAACTAGATCTCATATTAAAAAGTTTCGACGGATATTCTACATACCATGATGAAAAGCAAAGTGTTTAGTATAAACATGCTTCCCTCACACAAACTGGTGGATTAACAGGTAGGTTGACCATTTGTTATGAATTGTATGTGTGATAAAACAAGTTTTCAAGTATATAATTGTGTGTGTATGTTTTTAAAATGTTCTTATACAGTTTAAAATGTTTGCACTTGTATTTTTTAAAAGACAAATCAGCGTGATAAAAGTATTCCCTCTGTCTCAAGAGATATATTAATGTAAAAAATTATTTTATATTTTGAGACAGAGGGTGTAACTTGCAATACAAACCTGTATATTTCACCATATTACGAGCTGTTAAGAAGAAACTAGTGTACTTGTATCTTCCCTATACTCCAGCTAACTTGCTAGCGACTCACCAAGTTTGTTTCGCGGCTAACATTCAGAACACTTACATCCATTTGCTAATCATGTCGCGAAATGATTCTCACTCTTGTCAGCACAGTGCGAGTACCGTGGGTCCCCAACTCGAATTAGAGCAACATCTTTGGCGTAGGAAATTTCTGTTCATCCAATGGAGGGCCAGAGCAAAGGCCTTCCAGTCTCCACAAGCCCCAGCTCTAACCTGCACAATAGTGGAGCTGCCATCGCTCAAGAAAAAACATCCACAATGATCTCGAATACTAGACAATCACCTCTTCGCCTCACCGGGAACATGTAGGTTTAACCGGCGTGTGCATGGTTATGGTTCTGTTTGTTAGCAACTGTTACTATCTGAGTGTTAAGACTAGATAGGGGGTGAAAAGTTCTACACGCAGTTTTATAAGTTGGAAATTTTAGGCAACTATCTCGTGGATTCTTAAAACTAAACAAATAAGCCAACACATTACAGTAGCAGGAAAAAAAATCCAAGTAAGAGTTTTGAGTTTAGAAATTGCTAACATAAGGGGCTCGACGATGTTCATGGTTCGGATAGTTGGCGTTATCCTACTCCACATTGATGGAGACTTCGAACTAAATAGTTCTAGGATCATAAGGATCCTGACCTTGTCATGCACCAAGCGATCTACCGAGTCCAATTAACCTATTTCACCATGGATTTGTCAAGCCTCACTCGGGTAGATCTTTGCACTTAGATCAGATTCAAATTCTGAAGCTATTTTGCATTAGTAGATCGTTGATCTCTTTTAAAAGGGCAGCCCCAGTGCATGTAGCTCCCGCTTGCGCAGGGTCTGGGGAAGGGTCCGACCACTTTGGGTCTATTGTACGCAGCCTTTCCCTACATTTCTGCAAGAGGCTGTTTCCAGGACTTGAACCCGTGACCTCATGGTCACAAGGCAGCAGCTTTACCACTGCGCCAAGGCTCCCTAGATCGTTGATCTCTTTTGCGCCACCAATTTACTAGGATAGAATCGATAATGATCTGCAAAACGATTCATATGATACATCAGCAATGACTCCTTATTGACAGAAAGCAAGTGCAAAGAGCAATATTGCTGCTTGTGCAACAAGTACCTGATTAATGTGCGCAGCAACACATGGGATGACCAGAAGTCCAGACTCCCCAAGAGCACCTCCAAGCTGCTCAACCACAGCAACCAGCACTGGCAATGTTTTCTGTACGACATCAAGAAAATTAAGCAGAAGCTAGAATATACAGAATTTGGTGTCACACGGAGAGAATAATAATTGCATGTTTAGCAAATTTTACTATTACAACCGCAATTAGCGAGCACACTTTGATTCAGCCGGATGCATTCCCAAATAGGGTGGTATGATTAGGACCATGAAGACACACTTCATCGACTCTGCTTCTGCTACTCTGTGTGTCTAGTGATAACCCCGTGATCGACGACTTGTAGTGATTCCATGGTTAAGCAGTAAATTTCCTTTTGAAATTATGCTACCTTAGCCTAGTTGTTTCCCAGCAGGTAATTCTGTATCAGTTTACATTGTCTTACATGTATAGATCATCTAACCTTAGTGTTAACCCCTAAGTGTTTTGTGCAACTTGAGTCAACGTTAGTGGTGTCAACTGCAATTTACTCAAATTTTTATTCTGCTGCTGATGATGAAGACTGACCTGACTGGCCACCAAAATGACAGCTCGTGCATACTCTTTTCTCGCAAAGACTGACTCTTCCTTCTGTTTAAGACATGACAAGACCTGCAGTGTTGTAGCATTGAATGCCAGCAGAGCAAGATGTAGAAGCCTGTGACAGGAAATATGCCTCCATTAGAGAATCAGATTTGATACTAGATTTCCAACAATAATAAGCAGCAAATCCTATCCAAAGCAGAAAACGCTATAACTCGTCAGTGGCCACAAAAATACCTAGTTAACAGTCACTACGAGCATGAAGCAGGGCACGGGTACGCTTTTTTATCAAACAATTTTGTATCGAACAAAGTAGGCAAGTTTTCATTATTTCTTTTTACATATATTATTTCAATTTGGTTGCTGATTACTTAGTAAGCGTAAACTGAGTAACATGTGCCCAATCCCGTCCAAAATGATACTACCGGTAACCGGTATACAAAAAGTACCATTATCACTATATTATCTATCGCTCAATAACACCTGTAGGTGCCTCAGTATATCAAATTGTAACCAATTGGAGATGCAACTTGTAATGCAAGTGTTGAGTAAAGGTGAACAAATTGTGAGCATAATTCTAGTAGGCTGGAGGACAGGAATTCAATTAATTACCAAAAGTGAAAACATACAGTTATATTTGGTCCAGACTAGAGAAGTGGTAACAACTGTTACTAGTTTGATAATTGTGAAAAAATATTGCAAGCGTGATAGTATGAAATGATTTCAACCACAAACTTCACCTAGTCAAAATGACATAATGGCACAACATGGTCTAGGCATACAGTATTCTACAGATGCTGAACAACGTTTTCTAATAGTTACATAAATTTTGAAAAATTGAAACTACAATAAGGTCAGATAAAAAAATCATACACTCCAATAGTCACAATAACAGCGAAAGCTTTTGGTTTAACGGACAATAGCAGCGATCTTGATCTACTTACTTGTATCCATGGGACCTGTGAAATGGAAACATGTAAAGAGTGTCCTTCAATCAGTGTACATAGGCGAATTTGTAATAGACAGAAATTAAAAGAACAACATAAAAGCAAGAGCAGCCCCCAAAACTTTCTTCCCCTTTAAAGCTAAAATGTGGTTCTCGGTTCTGCAGACCTGCTCTATCTGAAAAGTTGGACTTGTATGGTTTTTTTCAGTTGGATTTGTACGTTTGCTCTACAGCCTTCTGCTGGGCAATCTGGAAAACAAGGAATAAGGCTGTTTTGTGGACAGGTTTGCAGAACAATTCAGACAAGAGGAACTTGCTGGACGGGGCGACGGCGCTCCGGAGCACAGTGGTGCGGGCACATGAAGCTGCGTGGACTCATACGGCTGGTGCTACTCTGCAGATAACTGAAGCTGGTGAAAATGCTACATCTGAGGAGTCTGATGACGAATGAAGATCAGGAAAATGGTTGTCATCTTCTGCTGATGAAATGCCTGAGAGGTGTCTTGAGAGGCCGCTTGCTGGGTGATCTAGTGCTTGCCCTTTGTTAAACTTGTTGATTTTGGGCCCTAGGTTGGGTGGTCTGTATATTTGATGTGACTATGCTCAGGTTAGGGGGCTGTGGCCTCGTAGCACTCTTTTGCTTTTCTTTGTTTACATAAGTTTTATGCTTTGTTTTGTGTTTGAACTGCTATTCCGTTATGCAAAAAGTAATGGAACCTGACTCCCCTTTGGGAGGCGTATGGAAAAGAAAAAAGGCTTTCTCTACTATCAGATGTCTCAAAATACTTCATTTCCATCACCAATCATAAATTAGCCACTCACTAAGGTAAACAAATTTGCTTCCAAAACAACCTGTCTAGATCGAAATAGGATAATAAAGGTCAACATAAAATCATTTCCAACTACAGTACGCTACAGCTAAAACGCTGTAGTTTCCTGCACTACTCCATAGCATTCTCCTAAAAATTAGTTCCATTGTCCCGATTTGGTGTTTACTCTGTTTTCTCTTTAGTGAAATTCCAGTATGCGTGCACCCAGCATCATCTCTCATGCATTGATCTGTATAACTATTCAGATTGCTACAAATGCAAAGAAATTCCCATTGCACATGCATGATATATTTCAAACAATTGATATGAATAATCTGACTAATGATTTGATACTAGAGAATTTATGAAATAATTTCAGGTGCCCGTTACATTTATACATTTCCCAGCTTGCAGAGTGCTGGAGATTAAAGTGTCACATAAAATCATTACTAGTGTAATGCCCGAACAGCTTCAATATCCCACCAACCACACCCCTTTCCAATTATCAGTGGATGAACTACTAGTATAGCCGAATTGTGTACAACAGGACAAACTAATACAACAAACTGGTGGACTTAATAATCAGTTAATATATTCATGCAAGAAAAAGAATGAGTGAAGTCATGCTAGAGACATACTAGGCTGAGAAGAACAGCACTTAAAACTGAAAAGCCCTGGCGATTTCCATCAACAAATTCAGCAATACCTACATAAGGAATACAAACAAGGACTCCAGATTAAGAACTTGCTAAGTGACAGCAATTTCAGAAAAGATATTAAATCCTGCGTACCTTTTGAGGTTTCTCGGGCAACCTGATAAAGAACAAACCATAAGTGTAGCTTCTATTATTTCAGGCTTGCACTAGAGCAGGAAAATTTTGCATTGCTCTGAACTAATAAAATAATTAGAATGAAGAAACGACTTCAAAACCAGACCCGCCATACTTCAGTTCAAAAACAGGAAGTGAAACTGACTGAAATACAAAATGCAAAGAAAAGTAATACTATGCAACTAAAGGAGATGAGTCCAAATACAGGCACCCCTGGACTCCTCCTTATTCTTCGTCATGAAACAAAAAATAGTTGCAATGTGCATTCCAGTTAAAGGTTTGATACCATATTTGCACTAACAGCAGATTCACGTGGATGCTCATTCGAACTGACTCTTAAACTATGCCAAAAAATGTGTTTATCATATAATTTTTTTCCACTGATACAGTTACAGTTTTACACACATGAGCATAAAAAACAGACTCTGTTCTTATTCAACTACAAAACTTAAAGTGCAATAAGAAAATTATGCACATAATTACACGATACATTGTATTGAAATAACAGAACAAAAGCCATGGAGTGGAGTACAAAGATATGAATAGCTACATACCTTGCCTAAAATAAGGGGGATTAAAAGAGTGTTGACCAGGCTTCTGAATAATTCCTTAGTAGGCAAAGACACTCCAGCTCCAGTGCCAATGTACTTTGCAAGAGACAAAGGTACCTAGTTCATGATCAAAGAAACATGATCAGGTTTTTCCTAAGCAGGGTAAGTTAACCTGTGGAAAGTAAAGGAAAAAATAAAAAATGATGGTTATCTTAAAACGATCCAAAAAAAACTTCAAAATCTCTGGAATTCTTCGTGACAAGACTAATAGAAGTTCATTACATATCATTATGAAAGATTTTGGTCGACAATCCAGCTTATCTTTCTTTACGGTTTAATCTATAGGACTGAGGGTTGCATTTTGTAACTCCTACACAAGAGTACAAGACGACAATTACATTTAAAATATAAAAGGAGATCAAGACTCACATGAATTATCAAACTCAAATTGAACAAAAGAAAAATGAATAATATCTTTTTGTGTTTTTTAAATTTTCAAACGCTCAAATAAGTTAAGTATGTAACTCAATATTGAGTTTATTGCTTGAAACTTTCAATCGGTGGTGATGCTTGAAAACAAAAGGTTAATATCATAACAAAGTCGTGCTTACAAACATAATGCCCAGTAGATTGGATATGACTGTCATTGCAAGAGCAAGTGCGGAGTTGCCGCCAGCAAGCTACCCAGCAATGGTAAAATTGTGTTAGATTTGAATGGAACTGCCTATCCAAAAAAGAATATAAAGTAGTTGATGTTAATGGATGATGATTAGAGGCGAGTAGCACCTGTGTTAGTGTGACTCCACTTGATAATGTTGTTGGCATGCAACAAAACATAGCCAACCCTACAAGATGTGTTGTGGACATCAAACAAACTAGTTGCAGTTACAAAGGCATGGGCTGCCACATTGCAACAAGAAATGACAGGATAAAATTTTGAAAATCCTTATGAGAATAGGACAAATAAGCATGATGATGAGGCTTGTACCAGTAATAAATTCACGAGGGAAGAACTGAATTTGCACAAGAAATTGTGCAAGAAAAGGTGTGAACAACAGAATTGAGCCCTGAGATGAGACACGTAACAATAAAAGATGTCAGCAAAATGGGGGAACTAACAGTTGCATAAAATCGGAATGGCAACATTGGACTGCAAGTAAACAACACAAATGCTAGCGTGAAATGTGATCTGCAATAACATTAAGATCATAATGCAGGGAGTAAAAACTATTCGCAACATAGGCGGAGTTTTTTTTGTAACTAAAGTCATAGATAAAGTTTGATGCACCGACCAATAGAACCAAAGTCTGTACTAATGGAGAAGATTGGGCAATCCACATAAATCAACACCCCATCTCATTTGTGGCTCAACTTAGCTCCTATACCATATTACTCCCTCCGAGGGGGAAAATTGCATGCTCCAGCCAGTTCATCCAAAAGTCTGAACTGATGGAAAAGGGCGGGCAATATATTCCCTCACGTCGTTCCTCAAGCCTTGGCCGTGAGATCGATGTAGGCCGCAACTATTTTCATAAATAGCGTGTTGGCCGAGTCTTGAACCGAGACCTCTTGGCTCTAATATCATATTAAGTTCCATGCACCGACCAGTTGACCAAAGTCCAAACTGACGGAGAAGGTTGAATCCACATATACTTCAACAGTAGACACAGTTACATCCACAAAGTATCTCAATTAATAGAAATTGGCTACATATGACGCCGTTTCTAAAATTGAATGAAAAGTCATATTTCTAAGTTCCAAAAACTTACCAAGAAAAATCGTACATATAGGTATTGTGTGGAAACTGCCAATGTAAAATTTCATACAAAATTATAACCATTTGTGACCTGAGCAAAAATGTGAAAATAAGGAAGCTATAGTCACGGTTATTGTATCTTTCACATTTTCTTATTTTTACACAAGCGCAAATAGTCATAGTTTTTTTTATGAAAAATCACATAGTCTACCCGTCACCGATTTTTTTGTAGGTTTTTGAAACTTGAGAATACATTTTTTTCACTTAGTTCTGAAAGTGGGTTCATATGTCCCCATGAGCATACTATCAATTTTGGCCAGAGTCGTAGTAGATCAACAAGTGGAACAAACGAGGACTAAACACTAGGTCATACTAGTCCAAAGAGTCCAGCAGGCCAAGCTTGTAACGCTGCGCCAAGCTCCTTAGTGCGCAGAGTCAGCCCTATGCAAGAGAAAGCCATTACTGTAGGAAAACATAGCACCATGTGCGCTAGGTGAAGAAACCAAACCTGATATAATGAATATCCCAAAAGTGCTGTATTTTGACAGGGAATATTTGTGAGCAAGGCAACCAAGAGTTGGATCCAGGAGTCCCAAAGTCATCCCACCAATTAGAGCTAAGATAAGAAAGATAATAATCAATCCACTTAAGTTCATGACCTGAGATGTGCACAAACTATAGTGATAACGTCTGCAAAGCAAAATGGTGCAACGAATAAAGTATACAATTTGTACACCTTGACCTTAATGTTACAATACCAAGCAGTACTTGGTTCATATTCAAACAATCAAAATTGCTATGCGTTGAGAGAAAGAGAAAAGGAGAAACATCTAAATCTACGCCACTTTTCCGTTTGCAGACAAATGTCAGCATCATACTCAAGCAAAGCTACACACAACCTGGAGTTAATACTCCCTCTTTTATATACAAGGCCACTTTGTTTTTCGTGTCAAACTTTGTCTTATAATTTTGGTCAAGAAAATATGGGTTGTATATCGTAAAAAAATATATTATCAAAAAGTTCATTCAATTGTGCATCCAATGGCGTACTTTGATGGCATATAACTCATATTTTGTTGGTAAAATGAATGGTCAAAGTTAGACATAAAAATATGAAATGGCCTTGTATTAGTAGATGGAGGGAGTACCTGCATTTCAAATACAGCTGGCCTAGAAAATGAACTGCACCTGAATTGACTCAGTGAGAATTCACAACTATTCGCATTACATTGCACACAGATATTCGCAGTGGAAATTACACGTCAGTAGAGTATGCAACTAGGAACCATACTGAGATCGCGCGGAAACAGGAAGCTCACCTAGCGGGAGGAAGTTGCTCCGCGCGAAGTCGAGCGCCGCGGCTCCGAGCGGGGGAGGCGTCGCGCGATTGCCTCCATCAGGACCTACCTGCGGAGGCGCGAGCCACTTGAGTTGGAACGAAGCAGGTGACAAGCTTAGGATAGAGTGGGTTTCGTGGAATTACCGGTGAGGCTCCTCCAGCGGCGACGCGCAGAGGTAGCAGGCGGAGGGGCGGCGGAGGAGGAGAGTAGGCGGCCGCGGTGAAAAGCAAGGCGTGTGAAGTCCCGTGGCGGAGGCCGGCGGGGAGGGGTGCGCGGAGGCGGAGCAGGGATGGGTGATGGGTTATCATCGCACTGGCTACTGGCTATAGATCCGGCGTGGCGTGCGCGACGCCGAATCGGGGTGGGGATGAGAGGAGCACCAGTGCTCTAGTCAGCAAGCGGAAAATTCACCGTCCTAGCGCATCCTGCAAATTCACCGTCCGAATCGGGAAAAAATCTTATAAGACCCGGGTCGTACCAAGGCAATTGGGAGACCCTCTATGCTCAAAAAAAAAAAATTGGGAGACCCTCTCCCGCGAGAGACGCGCGGCGATACGAATCTCAAAGCATCAGCCCCGTCTCGTTCCCCTACTTCCGTGTGCAAATCCTGATTCAATCTCGACGTCCCCCAAATTCCAGCCGCCGGTGTGCTACGCCCCTGCTGCTTGCCACATCGCCGCCGGCGTACTCCTCGATGCCAAGCACACCACCCCAGATCGGCACGCTCCATCCCGGTCGGCGGCCCAACTCGCGGCACTGCCCCAGCTACTTCTTCCCGCCGGCCACGGCGATGCTCCTCCACTTGCAGTGACGCCGGCAAACTACGCGGGCTGCACGCGCCCCTTGGCTACGGCCAAGCTTCTCGCGCGCTGGCGTGTTGATCTCCTTCAAGTTGGCTCCATCGGTTGTGGCCTAGCTACTGTACATTGACCTGCTAGCTGCATCTTGGCAAATAACTTCAAGTTCAGAGCATGACGGCTCATCTGCTGGTTGCAACACAAGCACATAACTATGTGCTCTGTCCATTTGCATCCTTTGCTCTTCTGGATATGCTTGTGCTGAAGTTATTCTCTTATTCATTGACAGAGTATATAGAAGAACCAAGAGGAAGATGATCACATGATGGCAAAAGGAAGACAGAAGAACCAAAAATCTGCTGGTGTGCATGCCTCTGTCGATGAAGATTCAGTGCTTTGTAGAAATGTCCGCACAATTTGTTTCACTTAACTAGACCAAATAATCACGAACTCAAGTCAAGTAGCTTAGTATTGTTGATGCTTTCTTATTTTGAAGAAAATATGCCCTAGAGGTAATAATAAAGTTATTATTTATTTCCTTATATCATGATAAATGTTTATTATTCATGCTAGAATTGTATTAACCAGAAACATAATACATGTGTGAATACATAGACAAACAGTATGTCACTAGTATGCCTCTACTTGACTAGCTCGTTGAATCAAAGATGGTTAAGTTTCCTAGCCATAGACATGAGTTGTCATTTGATTAACGGGATCACATCATTAGAGAATGATGTGATTGACTTGACCCATTCCGTTATCATAACACTTGATCGTTTAGTTTGTTGCTATTGCTTTCTTCATGACTTATACATGTTCCTATGACTATGAGATTATGCAACTCCCGTTTACCGGAGGAACACTTTGTGTGCTACCAAACGTCACAACGTAACTGGGTGATTATAAAGGTACTCTACAGGTGTCTACGAAGGTACTTGTTGGGTTGGCGTATTTCGAGATTAAGATTTGTCACTCCGATTGTCGGAGAGGTATCTCTGGGCCCACTCGGTAATGCACATCACTATAAGCCTTGCAAGCATTGCAACTAATGAGTTAGTTGCGGGATGATGTGTTACGGAACGAGTAAAGAGACTTGCCGGTAACGAGATTGAACTAGGTATTGATATACCAACGATCGAATCTCGGGCAAGTAACATACCGATGGCAAAGGGAACAACGTATGTTGTTATGCGGTTTGACCGATAAAGATCTTCGTAGAATATGTGGGAGCCAATATGAGCATCCAGGTTCCGTATTGGTTATTGATCGGAGACGTGTCTCGGTCATGTCTACATAGTTCTCGAACTCATAGGGTCCGCACGCTTAAGGTTTCGATGACAGTTATATTATGAGTTTATGAGTTTTGATGTACCGAAGGAGTTCGGAGTCCCGGATGAGATCGGGGACATGACGAGGAGTCTCGAAATGGTCGAGACGTAAAGATCGATATATTGGACGACTATATTCGGACATCGGAAAGGTTCCGAGTGATTCGGGTATTTTTCGGAGTACCGGAGAGTTACGGGAATTCGCCGGGGAGTATATGGGCCTTATTGGGCCATACGGAAGTAGAGGAGAGAGGCCAAAAGGAAGGAGGCCCCCCCTCTGGTCCGAATTGGACAAGGGGTGCAGCCCACTTTTCCTTGTTCCTCTCCCCCTCTTTCCTTCTCTCCTACTCCAACAAGGGAAGGAGGAGTCCTACTCCCGGTGGGAGTAGGACTCCCCCCTTGGCGCGCCCTCCTCCTAGGCCGGCCGCCTTCCTCCCTTGCTCCTTTATATACGGGGGCAGGGGGCACCCCATAGACACAACAGTTGATCATTGATCTCTTAGCCGTGTGCGGTGCCCCCCTCCACCATAGTCCTCGATTAGGGGTGGAAATTGGTAGCGGATAATCCGAAATATCCGATATTCGTATTCGAGAAAATGCCTATTCGTATCTGTTGAGGATATAACTACTGAGGGTAAACCACCAATGAGGGGCCGGTTCACCTGCAGTTATACTGAAGCCTAAGGAAACCCAGAAGATGGCGCTTTACGGATGAAGCTTAGAGGCCCAGAGCCCATAGGCGATTTAGGGCCCGTGATAGTAAACCGCCATGATTGTATAAATTTGCATTGTAAGATAAGAAAGAAGAGACCGAGGCGGACACTTATATGAGCCAGCCTCGGGACTCTGTAAACCGGCCAGGGTCCTCCTGAGTATATAAAGGGGTGACCCGGCGGCGGTTCAGGGACGGAAAACAACAACTCGAAGCCAGACAAAGCGGATTCGCTCCCTGGCCTTCGAAACCCCAGCAATACCAATCACAACTAGACGTAGGCTTTACCTTCATCGAAGGGGGCGAACTAGTATAAAACTCTCGTGTCCCCTTGTCCGATTTAACCCTTTCAAGCTAACCCGTAGCGATGGCTCCACGACTAAGTCCTTTCATGAGGACATCTGCCGTGACAATTCCACGACAGTTGGCGCCCATCATAGGGCTATCGCACGATGGTTTCGAGTTCTTGAAGGGCAGCTTCGATGGACTTAAGGGATACGCTGTGGGCCGGATGACGAAGAGTCACCGCGGCAAGCTCTACATCGACAACGCAGGATGGGGTCCCGAAGCTAATTCAATCGAATACGGGTACCGGGTCCCCTTTGGTGGGATTCACGTCTTCATCGGCAAGATCGGTGAACCGGCCCCCGAGCCGGACACCTGCACCGACATCATCGAGACGGCTCGGCGTGCAAGTTCTTCACCGGTTCAGCCTAAGGCAAGGCATGTTTTCATAGGTGTCGTCCATGGTTCGGGTTACGAGGAGGAACCGGTCTCCGATGGAGAAACCATAGTCCGCAGTGATGACGAGTCTTCCGGAGAAACCGAATCGCTTTACCAGTTGTACGACGGCCAGATTGAGAGAGGATCCGAGGGCAACAGTATTCCGGATTCCCCCGGTCTGCCAAACCGGGCCGCTGTCTTCATGGCGAGCACACGACCGGCGCCTCATTCATCTACCGCCGCAGCAGTGCTCCTCGGTTCAACGATGGCCACGCCAGCAGGTGCAGGAAGCTCGGCGCCGCCTCCGGCCCAAGTCTTGTCTGAGTTGTTCGACGCTCTAGCGGCACTGATGTTCGCGGAGGTGGACGCAACAGCCAGGGATCAGCACGATGCGGAGATTCTAAAAGTGAAAGATCAGATAGCCCAGGCTAAAGCGGACATGGCAGCAGAGAACTCCAGGATGGCCACGGAGCGGGCCGAGTTGGAGGCATAGGCTTACCGGATTAGACTGGATCAGAATGCCTCGGAGGAGGTCATGAGAAGAAGGTACCGATCACGTCTCCCGTTGGTTTATGAGCCGCGGAATCTTTTCCACACGCCAGGTGCAGGAGCTGGTAACCAACCCGCGCCAAACCGGGCGGGGGCACCGGAAGGAGGAGCGTCGGTTCAACCACGTGCAACAGAACTGCCTCGCCAGAACAACGTTGTACCATCAACGCCGCCCGGGCATTATTCCAACCCGTTGGATAATATTGTGGCCGCCGCTTCACGCCTGGCAGCCCTCCCAACCGACGGCGAATCACCAGTTGCAGTGGAAGCGCGCTGGGCCAGGGATCTCCTTCAGACAGCACTGAATCAACAGCAAGCGTATTCACACATCCGTGAGAGGATTCATTCCACTCCCCGTCCAAGCCGGAGTTATAGCAGACACATGGAAGACGAACCGGCCGTGTCCAGTAGCGCACGCCACCGAAATTCACCACGCGGGAACAACCCGGCTGGGGGAGGTGCTGATGCACAAGACGTTGTGGACCACGGCCGCGCACGGCGAGAGGCCGAGTTGACAGCTCGACACGAAGCACGACAACATACTCCGGTTCACCCCACTGCCTCCGTGGAGCCAGGGGTAATGTTCAGTTCCCTGGGGGTACCGTGTTTAGCTCCTGCATTGCGTAATGTGCGATTGCCCAAGGATTTCAAGGGACCTCGTAAGGTGCCAAATTACACCGCCGATTTGCAGCCAGAGGCGTGGGTAGAGAGCTATGAGATGGCAATGGAGATGTTAGATGTGGATGAGGCGGTTTGTGCTAAATATTTCACCATGATGTTGGAAGGAACAGCTCGCACTTGGTTAAAAAGCTTGCCGACCAACTCTATCGGTTCATGGGCCGAATTAAAGCGTCGGTTTATCCAGAACTTCAAGGATACGTGCAAGCAGCCGATGTCAATTGTGGATCTGGCTGCTTGTGTCTAGGAGGAAGGGGAATCCATGACCCATTGGGTCAAAAGGGTCTCGGCGATTTTACATTCATCAGATTGTATCAATGCAGACACTGCAGTGTTAACGTTAGAGGGCAACTGCCGCTTCAAGCCATTGAAACAGAAGTTGGGAAGGCTCAAACGCCACTGCAACGACATGTCAACACTCATGGCCGCTTTGGTTAAGTATGCCGATTCAGATAACACCAAGGATTCGGATGAAGGAAATATGCCCTAGAGGCAATAATAAAGTTATTATTTATTTC